TCTCCCTCGGGGAATCGAACCCCGGTCTCCCGCGCTTATCGGTGTTAATGACAAGCGGAAATCATCACCACTAGACCAAGGAAGATGCGATGGCTGAGTTACTGCTCGGCCACTTGGCTGGTTGATGGGAAAATGAGGGTCAGACTACTCCATGACGGCTTTCATAAAACTGAACCTCCATCGAACCACTTACCCCTCTCCTCTCGCCCAATCGCGATGCAGTTTATTGGCCGGTCCTTAGCAATATGCTGTCTTAATAATTCCATGGCCATTCTTTGTGGAGATAGCCCTGCCTAAATCCCACCATCTCCACCCTTCAATGTCCTCAAACGGAAACTCCTGGAGAAGTCCGGGTCTAAGACCCAGAACCGACTTCCCCACAGGAGGCTTAAATACTTCAGAGATTGCCGCATTATTCTTTGCGTGAGTTCAAGAATCACAGAAAACTAGTGACCATGACATTCGTTTTCAAGAATGGGCGCATCTTCATCCCGTCGCAAGCCTCGAATAATGAGGGAAATTTTGCCGAGAGCATGATCATTGAGAATGAAAGGATCTCCCACGTCGGCTCTCTCGATGGAATAACCATCTCGGAAAATGCAAATGTCATTGACCTGGAAGGTCGCACTGTCATTCCAGGCTTCATCGACGCCCATGTACACCTCCTGCATTACGGGCAGTCATTGCGTAAAGCCGATCTCATCGCATGCACCTCACTCGGTCAAATCCGCGGAGCCATCAAAACTTACGCTGAAGCCCATCCTTCTCTGCCGCGCATCTTATGCAGAGGCTGGATCCAATCATCTACCAATGGAGTCGCACTAGCCAGTATGCTGGATGGTATCGACCCACGTCCCATCTATATTGACTCCTTCGACCTCCACTCCATGTGGTGCAGCGCAGCCGCCCTCGATGAAATGGGGGTTCATACTGCCTCCGATTTTCCCGGTGGAAAAATCCACCGGGATGACAATGGAAGGGCTTCAGGACTACTCGACGAATCTGCTGTTGTGAATCTTGCATGGCCTTATCTAGACAGTGTTACCTCCACGGAAGACAAACTGAGCGCGTTGGACACTGCAGTTGCTGCATACACCGCTGTCGGTTATACCGGAGTGGTGGATATGGCCATGGACGAAGGAACTTGGGAGATCCTGAATCTCTATCGTCGAGATCACACCATCCCATTCCACATCGGCGTACACTGGCTCGTCCCCTTCTCAGCGGATCAAAATGCCAACTTCAAGCACGTGGATCGAGCAATCGAGTTACACCGCCAGTACAACCAGCCGGATTTCCATGTCCTCGGAGTAAAGCTCATCTGCGATGGCGTTGTCGACGGATGCACTGCCGCTCTCCTCCAACCGTACACTGGTAAATCCGATCCCGTCGAGCCAATCTGGCCAGAGAATATGCTACAAGAAGTAGTCCAGCGCGCGGACTCCGCGGGAATACAATGCGCAATTCATGCCATAGGCGATAAAACTATCCACCAAGCAATCAACGTGCTGTCGAGAGTCGGCACGCCAGGCCGGAGACACAGAATCGAGCACCTGGAGCTGTCAACCTCAGAGGACGCTAAGCGACTCGGTCAGCTAGGTATCACGGCCTCGATCCAGCCCGTGCACTCGGATCCTATGCTTTTCAAGGCGTGGCCTGGTCTTGTCGGGCCCGAGCGCTGTAAGCGCGCATTCGCCTACAAGGAGTTCCAAGACGGAGGTGCTCCTATTGCTATCGGCACCGATGCTCCTACTGCGGCTCACTTCCCTTTCCCTAATCTTTACAATGCTACCACTAGGCGCTCGGCGCTTCAGACCGAGATGGTTGATACTGTAAACGCGCATTTCGGGTTGGGTTTGGTTGAGGCGGCTACTGGTGCTACGGCTGGTGCGGCTTATGCGCGATTTGCTGATTCATGGACTGGAAGTCTGCAGAAGGGATTATATGCGGATTTCTTGGTTGTTGATATGCAGTGGAAGCCGGAGACATTGCTTCAGGCGCGTGTCTGCCAGACTTGGTATCGGGGGAAGAAGGTTTTTGATTCGTGACGTGGTTGATAGGTGTGGCTCATAGACTTCGAATTACATGGAAGAATACCAGAAAAGTTTTGAATTGCTTTTTTCTATTCCTTATGACGTTATTGCTTCTACTATGCGGGGTGCACATCACGGTGACATCACCAGTACGCGCTTTTGCCTCACGAAACAATTTGAGACTATCACGATGTGATATACAGCACACAAGATATATAGTATCGATTGGCAGTCTCTTAATTTACAGCTATCGCCGTTTCATGAAGGCATCACTCCTAGTTCGATCTACTTCCCTCTAGAACTCCCTATGTAGTTCCAGTTCTAAGTCGAACAAAGTATATGAACGCCAATTACTCTTCGACTTTTTCAGGCTGCTCCTGGAGTCCACGGTCGGTACTTATGTCAGAGAGGAAGGAACCTGATGCTCGTTAGTACAAATAACATGATCCCTGCGCTCGTAGTTCGGGCATAACGAAGACATACTGTGATCTACCTCCTGCGAGGACCGGCGTTCTGTGCTCTTGTGTACACCTTCCAAGGCATGTTGGTGTGCAAGCTCCGAGCACTGTTCGCTGGAAGATCTGTTTTTAATTTGAATCTGTCAGTTACGGGATGCTTCAAGGCAAGCTTTGGAAGTCGTGGTCTAAACGCACGGGGCGACATCTCTGTCCACCATGAGATCTTTGGGATTGGTTTGGCTTTTCTGCTGATTCTCCATATCTCCAAGAGAGCTGCGGCGCTTTTCGTAATTGGGATCTAGGGGGTTTTGATCTCTGTCGGTCTTGACCATGTTCGAGTGCGTAGACTCTGTAGTGGTGGCAAATGAAGGGCTGGCTATATGTGAAAGTATTGAGAAGCGAATTCGTTTGGAAATATTTTGGAAACTGAGAGAAAATAAACCTATTTATCTTCTGTTAAATGCGGGGGAGCCTTCGATGTCATAAGTTGGGCGTGGCAAACTTATGATATAAACACTTCACGCGAACCTATCAGATTTATCTTGATCCTGGTATTTGAATGACGGATTTCACACATCCTAGCTATTGACCATGAAGAATCGAAAAAGGAGATTAACTATTGTGGTGCTCACACGAAGCCGACTTCTTCGTTACATGAGGCGAAATAGTTAATTATGGCCAACTATGTATGAGGTCAAGTGCTCGTCAATGGACGACACGATGGCAAATTAGTAATGTTCTGGTCTTTTCCATTGTGTTTGGGATTGTGGAAACTATGAGTGGAGGAGGGATGTGAAAAGTACACATGCAGCGATCCTCATCGTCCATCCTAGATATCTTTCGTTGGCTTACTGGGGAGATCCTAAGGCTTTTAGATCTCGATGCGGAATAGTAGCATTGATTTTCTAAATATGAGACAAGTCAGTATCATCTATTAGCGATAAACGTCTTTTTGCTAATTCTTCCACAAAGGCAACACTTCAGTGGCGGCCCTGTCATTCTCCATAAATTCTTTCCGAAGTCGAGATGACAGGCCAGTTTCCAAGGCACGTAGATTTCTCGGTGGATTTGGAAGATGACGAATATTACATGACAACAGAATTGAGTTCCGTTCCTGACTTGCTGGTGTCATAAATGGGCTATTAGCATGACCTATGAGTAGAGCTAGACTGTAATTGATGGGCGCCACAACGATGTTGGCCTGCTGTCGACCGGGAAGTCATCGTGGTTTGAACTGAATGAAGATTTTATCTGATCCAATATTAGTGCGGGGGTCTATCTGGTTGATGTTAGAGAGCCCAGGGTAGTTGTCGCTTGCAGACAGGGAAACATTTGCCTAAACAAGAAAACATACTAGTACCTATTAGGCAATGGAATGCGATTGGAATCGATCCGCAACAAAATAGGTTGGAATCAGAGCTCGGATCCGAATTTTAAGGTTCGCTTCTGATGATTTTGATCATTGGTATACTCGATGGATATTGAAATTGGACATCTGGAATTTGTGGATAATTCATGTGCGGCTGAAGCAATTGCGAAGTGCTATTAATAGGGTCATAATTTTATAGAAACCTGGAAGGATCGTCAATCTGAATAGAAGGTTAGAAGGCGACTACGGCTATGAGAGAGAACAAAGACTCGACAAGACAAGATTATCACAGTCACTTGAAGCGTCATTCTTGTCCCGATTGATAGAGATTAAAGTAAATTAAGCCATTCTCTTGGCTTCTTAAGGTGCCACTACGTCTTGGCTTCTTAATACAGCCTAGTACCTTATAGATCGATTAGCTATCCGACGTTGAAGCTACGAGATCGCAAAACGCGGAATGATAGATGATAACCAGGACAAAGATTGTCTTCTAGGCCCGATCGACGAAAATTGTGGTAGTTCCAAGGTGTATCGCGTAGGGTAAGCCGCGTCCGGATAAACCCCACAGGGCCGACAAAGCCAATGTGGGGTGCAGCAGTAGATCATTTAGCTAATTCCTTCATCTAAGCACATCAGAAGAAGAGCCGGTCAAAGCAACATCTTCAACCAACCACGTTGTGTGAAGTCCAAATCGACCCTGGGGCATATTGTCACTAGTCCCAATATGGCCATTGTCTGGAGAACTGGGCTTCAGGTGGGGAGAAGATCAATCTGTTCGGATCAGTTGAGATTGCGCGCACAGAAATTCTCTTCAGCTCGAATTGATTTAAATGAAGCTGGATTCTCTGTTTTCTGGAGGCTTGAAATTAGATTGCTAATTGGGACTACAATCTACATATATAAACCCTTTTCTGGGGAAGAATTACATCATACCTTCAAGTTCGGTTACTTTGGATTCCCCCACGCGGACGAGTACCACGAAGACAACAAGGACTTGCGAATTTAGACTAGCCACGAAGAGTCTCGTCGAATTTCAGCGGGATCAGGATGGTGTTCCGTCGAGGCGATGTGTCCGGCCATGACCAGACAATAGGTAAAACCAGAACGACACCAGCAATTGAGGTCCAGAATATTGACTAACAGCGGCACAGATCGTCAAGAGCCCAACAAACATGTCACTATCGTGTCCTGGGATGGGCCACGAGATCCCGGAAATCCATACAACTGGTCTCTGCGCGAGAAATGGCTTCTCACAGCTCTCGCCGTGTTCGCCACCTTCATGACCATGATAAACGGCACAATCATCACAGTAGCCCACGATCCCATGAATGAACAGTTTAACATTTCAGATGCCAATTTTCCTCACTCCTACTGGCCCGTCACGTCGTGGGCTGTAGGCGGCGGTTGTTTCTCCCTGCTGGTCCTCCCGCTCATGGAGGACTTTGGTGTGCGATGGGCGTTCCTGTACACCTACGTGACTTTCATCTGCTTCGTCGTGCCGCAGGCTGTGGCACAGAATTTTTACACGCTTGTAATAACGAGATTCTTCGCTGGAGGATGCGTCTCCATCCTCGCCAATACCTCTGGCACGGTGATTGGGAATGTTTGGGACACTGAGCGAAGTCGCAACGTCCCTGTCAGTCTTTTCATTCTTGCCTACTTGTCTGGGAGTAGTATTGGACCCGTCATTGGAGCTTCTATCTACCATGCCCTCACGTGGAGGTGGATTGGCTATATCCAGCTCATGTGGTATGGTGCTTTCTTCCCTCTGTACTTCTTCTTGTTTAAGGAGTGTCGTGGAATTGTAATCCTAGGGCGGCGGGCTAAAGCTCTGCGACGTGAAGGCAAGAATGCCTACACCCAGCATGAAATCGACACACAAGGCCAGTCGATTTTGAGCATCGTGGGCCACAGCGCGATTAGGCCTCTTTTCCTATTCTTCACCGAGTCTGTGGTGTTTGTATCGACGCTATGGTCCGCCTTTACCGTCGGTACTTTGTATCTGTTCACTCAATCTGTTGAGCAGGTATTCGAAGAGCTGTATGACTGGACACCAGCACAAGCTGGATACGTCCAATCGGCAGTCGTGATCGGGGAGCTTTTAGGATGGGTGGCCACCTTGTTCTCAGGCAAGCTTTACTTCGACTCGGCGTCCCGCAACAAGGAAATCCCGGGCACGCCTATCCCTGAGGCTCGGCTGTATCTCGCTATTGTGGGCGGTATATTCGGAATTTCCGGTGGTATGTTCACATACGCCTGGACGTCATATCCGGACTTTCCGTGGATCGCACCGGCTGTTGGTCTCGCCATGGTAGGAGCCGGTAGCGTTATTGTCGTGACAGGAATCTCCGACTACGTGGTTGATGCATACAGCAAATACGCGGGCAGTTGTATGGGTATTATTGCCACCGGTGAGAACACCCTGGCGGCGTTCTTGCCTCTAGCTACTAGCAGCATGTATACTCATCTTGGCCTCCAGTGGGCTAGTACGGTACTGGCCTTCATTGCGTTGGCTCTGTCTTTTGCTCCAATATTGGTGCTTATCTGGGGTAAAGAAATCCGTGCGCGGAGTCCGTTCATGAAGGAAGCTATGGTGGAAAAGAGGAGGAAGAGTATCGATTCCGTCTGACGGGTCTTGCTCTGTACATAAAGCGATTTGAAAGACATATTGTACATATCGACAGACTTAAAGAGTATGTTTGCTGTATTCGCTGAATATTTTCTCGTGTCCAAGTTCAGCGTTCTCCCTGATTCACGGGGACAAGTTAATCAAGACTATCCTTAGCTCCGAGGAGTTTCCTAAAGGCTTGGCCATGGGTAAAAGGTACCTAGATATGTTTCAGTTTGCTTCGACCTAAGCAAACCTTAACCTATAGACGGCATTCTCACCTCATGGAGCCCCTGCATAATTAAGAACACATGGAGAGTGAATTGAAGACTGTGAATGCCAAGAAACGAGTGGATCTAAATCGTAAGCAAAACAATATAGTTTGGATCAGGGGGGATTCTCATCGAATTCGAGAAACGTCGGAGATATTCCAGATTGCGGTATAGATCGAGGCGGCGCTTGCCCGAAACGAACTTCCCCCCTTGACCTCCACATGTGTCCTTCCACGTTTTGTCCCAAGGCCCTTGAGGCGAGTGATTATTGTGGATTAATGTTGTTATTTTGAGGTTAGTCGCAGACTACCAGTCAGAAGGAAAAACAAGTGAAAAGAAAGGAAGGGAAAAAAGGGGAAAAAAGGAAAAGGGCAAAAAGAAGAACACGCCAAAAAACACCTCTGTATCGCAACCCACGATTCAACGACTGAACCAGGGATAATAGCCGAATTACCCCCGTTAGTCTTGCTCCTCCAAGAACAGGGGGTTAGACGGGCCGCCTCCCTTCTTTCTCGATAGGTCGTCGACCGACCTATCTTTCCGTATGAGGCTCCTTGCATGAGCGGAGGAATAACGTCCCCACGTTTCTCGCAACTGTCGGATTTCTAGATCGTTTCAGGGCGGACGATCAAACGGCTTGATTCCCGGTGCCCTGTGCGATGGTCTGACTACTCCGTACACAGAATAGCATCGGAATACGGCATTTGCACCAGCTGGGTGTCTCTGCCGAGGGTATTTGCTAGTTTCCCAGGGGTCGCGAAATCCTGGTCAGAATTGAAACCTCCAGCCGGAGTCTATATTGATGAATATTCCACGAAGATCGTGGATTTGGATGTAATCCCGACATACTTCCGACATATCTCGCTCCCGATCTGGTAGGGCGCACCAACAATACATGCTTCTCTTTCTGTGTCTGTTCTCTTCTTTGGTTTGAGGGTTGATAGAGCGACGATTGATAGGACGAGGTTGATAGGGGGTGGTTCTAGGGCGAACTAGCCAAGATTCAACGGGGGTTTTTGGTTCGAGGATGAGACATTCTGACACATAGATATGTACGCTGATCTGATAATGATGATCTTTGTGGATGGAGATAACATGTACTCCCTATGTTGTACATGATTGTACATTCTTGTTCTTCGGACACATGGGTGTACAGCCATCTCGGATTCGTACCGAGCTCCTTTAGGCTACCGATCTCATTGAAATTTCTGATCAGGATACCGTACACGAGTCAGAGTAGTCTACCGAGTCCACATGCTGTGGGGTGCCATCCCAGCTCGGAATTCTACCCTACTTCCCATCCTATGGGAAGGCTACGGTACCTGTTTATCCATGTGGTCTGGAACGTCGCTCATCTATTTACGATATGGCTGGCTGGGGAAAAGTGGACCAGACCGTACAGATACGGAGTAAAGGTACATAGAATATCTGTTTGGCTGGGTTTGCGTAGTAGAAAGCACTCGGGCACAACTTTGGAGGGTTGAGCGCATGTACAATTGATAGGTAAAATACTCCTTCAAGATACTAGGTTATACGGAGTACTTTTTTCCCACTAGACGAGTCCCATTCGGCAAAAAGGCACCAGTCCGAAATATCGCATGGACGATCCCAAAGCCACAGCCGTTTATATACAAGGTGCGCCCGGAGCTCGGAGAAAATACCAGGGGAAAAATCGGGAGGTTTCAATGCATGTAAGCGCCCACTCCAAATCTGAAACGACAGGGCGGGTGCTTCAGGTTGCAGCGCCAGTTTGATGAGTCTTGGCTGTCTCCACCTCTTTCCCGTTGGACTCACACGACATTTTTGTCTAGAAGGATCTCTGAATGTGGGAAGTGATATGTTTATCACTTGTTTATGCAGCCTGGTCACCATGTGGATTGGGCCAATCATCAATTTTGGGAATACTACGGAGTAAACAAATATTGTACAGAATAAGACAAGGCTATATTCGCTTTTTTGACAAGAATGGTGTTATTTAGTTTGATATCAGACTATGATTATTGTGTTATGAGACACTTCCTTATGTGTATCATTAACAAAGGTAACATTTGAAGTGAAGTATGAAAAGCAATGAAGTACAGACTTTCTGTTCCGCCTTGTAAAAGACAGATGGATACAGTGTAAATAACAATCAAAACCAGATTTATAACATAAATAACACAAATAACACCATTAACAGCGGAGAATAAGTCCTTCGTCCGGTATGACTAAGAATAACCCAAAATAACATACTAGTTTCTGACCGGTCAGACGTCCCTAGGCGCTTCCATTCCCAGCTTCGATTATTATTAGACTTGATCGTATCCTTCCCCCCCCTTCTTCTTCACCAATACTCGAGCTTCCTCTACACTTTCGTTTCTTTCTTCCGCTGCGCGCGAAAATCCCCAGAGGCTTACCGGCTGGTCCAGTTCCATTCTCTGACAATCTCTCTTTCTCTTTGTCTACGAGGCTGGTTCCTCTGTTTCCTTACTCGCTTTTGTGTGATCTAGAACTTCTCCCGATCGGATATCATCTTTACTGGGCGACGTTGATCCTCGCACTTCCGATCCCATCCTGTTAAACCATTCAGCTGGTGAGTTCGATCCGAGGTCTTGCAGCTATGTCTCAGAGTCGCAGAGGGTTCTTTTGATTGGACTCAGTTTGCCTCTTTGTTTGCGCACGCGTTATCAGGCAGTCCTTTCCCCAATGCTAATTACCTATACAGTGCGCTTCACAAAGAAAAACAAAAAAATGTATCCTCAAACAGGTGCTCAAATCCCTATGGCACCACCCCAAAAGCCTGAAACTTTTATGCTCTCCTCCGAAGCACAGCGAAGCCTGCCTCACGACGCGCAAGTTGCCCTTCAGCAAGTGGATAATCGTATGTCTTTGGGTGGTTTCTATTCCCACATCAAAGCAATGTATTGACATGGGACCAGTGAAATATTTCCTTCTGTCAGCTCCCGTTGACTGGCAACCGGATCAACTCATTCGACGCTTTTTGCTTCCCACAGGCGACTATGTCTCTTGTGTTTACTGGTTCGTCCCACCCTAGAGCGTGAAGGCTCGGGAAGCTGACTGACCCCGTCTCAATAGGAGTGGCCTTTTCCACATCTCCGGTACCGATATTGTCCGATGTCTCGCATTTCGATTCCAAGCCTTTGGACGTCCGGTGAAGAACTCGAAAAAGTTTGAGGAGGGCATTTTCTCGGATCTACGAAATCTCAAGGCCGGCGTAGACGCGGTCCTGGAGGACCCAAAGAGCCCGTTCCTGGACTTCTTGTACAAAAACAACTGTATTCGGACGCAAAAGAAGCAAAAGGTGTTTTACTGGTACGGCGTGCCCCACGACCGGCTATTCCTCGATGCATTGGAACGGGACTTGAAGCGCGAGAAAATGAACCAGGAGGCCACCACGGTCGCAGTCAGTGAACCGGCCATGTCCTTCGAATTCGACTCGTCCCAGTCTCTGTACGAGCAATTGACCAAGTCACAACAAGTGAATATGAACTCGTTCGCTGCGCACGCAAGTACGACATATGGCCAGCCCAACTCCCCCGTGGTTCGGACCGTTGACGCAATGCCTCCTCCGCAGATGGCTCCCCCAGCGATCCCCCTGCTCCAGGACTCTGGGAATCAGATGTACAGCCAGCCTCAGATGCCCCTTTCGAACAATCTAGTCCAGAGCATCATTAAGCGCGAGCAGGACTACGGCCCCATCCAGTACGATCGTCACGGAATGCCCATCTCCCGCCCCCATCAGCGCCATTCTTCCATGCCGACCTTCTATGAGTACTCTCCTGCCCCATCCTTCGTATCTTCGCAATATGAGGATTACAGCAATCGCGGCCTGTCCTTCGAGCCAGTCACACCGCCGCAGCATTCGGTCGGACTCGGAGGGGAACCAGCTTACATCGCCAACGAAGACACTGGACTTTACACAGCGATCCCAGATATCTCAAGTGGACCCGCCTACCACCCTATGATGCAGCTGCCTCCTTCGAATCTGTCTAGTGCTCAGTATCAGCCTGCGCCCCGGTCCTTCTCAGCAAACCCGTATCCTGTCATCGAGGGATCCCCGACATACAAACAGCGCAGACGTAGGTCATCTATCCCGCCCAGCACCGGTGCTGTCGCACCCAGTGGCGCAGTTCATGCCCAATCGACAACTCCAGGACCTCAGTCGACCTCCTACGCTGCTCACAGACCAAGTGATCTGCGGCGTTCGGTTTCTAGCTCAGTCGCTCCAGTTGCAGAGGGGGATGAAGCTGCCCAGGAAATCGCTCGGACTTACCCAAGTGCGATGCTGCCACAAAAGGATCTTCTTCATGAGATGTCCCGTCATAGCACGCCGTTGCAGAACCTAGATCAGAGCACCGCACAACATCCAGGCTCAATGGCAAACCAATCCAACGATCTGACATCTCTGCCAAGCAGTGCTGCCATCGAGACTGCGGTTTCAAATACTACTAGTCGGTCCGAGCGTTCGGCGCCTGGTCCTACTCGGAGAGCCAGGAGTGCAACTATGATGGAGTTGGGACCGTATCCAACCAAGGCGCATTCTTGCCCCATCCCGTCATGCGGTAGAACCTTCAAGAGATTAGAACACCTCAAAAGGTAAGCTTACTTTCTATTTTTGCACACGTCGGTGGGGCTGATCTGCACCGTGCGCCGTGTGACCGTTTCGATAGCCGCCGACTGACCCCTGTTTCTAGACACGTGAGAACTCACACACAAGAGCGTCCGTACCCATGCCCTTATTGCAGCAAAGCTTTCTCGAGGTCCGATAATCTTGCTCAGTACGTTATTATTATTCTCCTTCTTTAAGACTTGCACTAATATTCGCTAGACATCGTCGGATCCACGAAGCGCAGCAGGATGGTCAGACTGTTGCCCCAACTGACGAGGATCTGGAGAATGAAGCGCATGAATTCGGTTCCCCCAGGGAAGACATGTCCCCACCGGAGCCCGCTCACACAATGATTGGCATGCCCAACATGACGTCGATGGCAGCTCCCTTGAGCATGCCGTCCGCCCTGACCGGCATGCCTACTTCACACATGATCGCCCCGCAACTTCTCCAGCAACACATGTGAGAACACTACAGAGCACTATGTGTCCTCCACGCAAAACAGTAGATGCATAGCCTCATGTACTGATTACCGGCAATGTTCCGAGCAAATGTTTCAATTCTCCTTTCTCTTCGAGGTCTTCCGGGCGCATACAGGCGTCCTTTTGGTTCGGGGTCTATATTGCCTCTTGTTTAATCGCACATGGTCAATTCTGGCTTTGCACATACCGCGATATTCGTGTATAGATCGCGTGTTATGTCTTTGCTTGTCTTTGGCACACTCTTCATTTGTCTTTTGGTTTCTTTGGTTTCTTTTTGGTTTTCGCGCTGTGCGATGGTTACAGGAGATACTGTGTATTATTGGTGTTGGCTGCCCTGCACGTGAATTGGGTTGCGCTGGCAGACATTCATTTCATGCTGCCTGGCGGGCACGGGCACCAGAGAGGTTCGACTATCTCTCAGGGAAACGGGTGGGGAAGGGAAAGATTGGGGTTGGCTTCTTGGATCGTCAGGCATTGTCCATGAAGACCGGCTGGGAATGGTAAGGTTATTTTGTACGCCTCAAATCACACTATATAGACAGAGACATTGTGTAACGACTTTGAATTGGAATTGAGAAGACACTTGAAAACTTTATAACTGCCAATATTCCTTCGCTTGTACTCTTCCTCGTATGCACCCGCAATGGCAATGATGTGTGTGATTAAGCGCTGGCTGGTTACGGCAGTGTATAGCCGTCGGTGCGCCATATCGTATTTTCCCACATTAAATTTTGACCGTCTTCAGACTGCTAATTTACTATTGCCTCCTTCTAGTAATTAATTTCTACAATATCAACTTCTATAGTGTCACTTTCTGTGATATCTTAATTTTATAAATGTTATATACAAGTCCACTTTTGCAAATTAAGCCTCTTTGGCCCTTTTCTACTATCTTCCTAATAAACAAAGAAGGGGGAGAAAATGTCTATATAACTACCTAGATATCTGAAAAGACCTAAGGAGACCACTAAAAAGGACCACTAAAAAGACATATAAAAAGACTATCGGAGAAGACTACCCTAGAAGACCACCAAGATGACTACAGCCGCATAAGCGGCCGACTATTCTTGTCTATAATATCTCAATTTCTACAATATCAACTTCTATAGTGTCATTTTCCACACTATTAATTTCTATCAATTCCTATAGTCAATAAAATACACATATACCAATTTTATGAAAGGTTCTGCTGGCAAAATACGATATGGCGCACCGACGGCTATACACTGCCGTAGGCTTGTCTATAAATGGAACGTCACGTGTTGCTGACGTCGATCCCCTCTGCAGTCGTGAGTGGGATACCGGGCAGATCGCCCATCTGACACACCGCGCTTTCATTCGGAGGGCTGTACCCTGTCGAGTTCTACCTTCATTCAGCTACTTATCTGGCTGGTAAACGATGTGTGGCTCCCAACACCAAGCACAACCCCATCTTTCCGACGGTGTCTACTTCCCCACGTTCCAAAAATCCATAGTCCAGATTACCTACCACCAACACGAGGGTTGTAAAGTCAACTAAGAGAAATTTCGCTCTGACCAGCTACTATCAACATAGCATATCTCAGCTCAGTTGTACCCTGCGCTATAGTTAGCAGCTGGAAATAACAGCAGCCCCAACCACATCCAAACACGCATCACCGGATCCCATGAGTTAATCCTGGTCGGTGCCAATTCGACACGTCAAGATCCGGACTCTTTAATTCTCCAATGAGAGACTTGGACTACAAGCCTACCCTTGGTTCTATCGACGAGAGCTCACCTCTCATGGTTGCCACTCACCCTGCGGACAGGCACGGCGCCGATGAGTCGTCCAAGGGTGCGCTGTACATGTTTCTTTTGACTCTGTCTATTGGTGGGTAAGTAGCTTTGAATATGATGATTCGATTGCATTTGCTCATGTTATTTTGACTTACGTACTGGGCATCTATTGATATTGGGATTTCTTGACAGACTTCAGGTTGTTTGGTCTGTCGAACTTTCTAATGGATCGGTAAGTATAAGTCGCGACTTGCAGAAGATGGTTCAATTTCAACTTGCATTTTGCTTTTTCGCCCTGAAGCCGAAAGATTGGGTAAAACAACATACTAACCCCGGTGCAGCCATACCTTCTATCCCTCGGGATGAGCAAGTCGCTTCTTGCCTTTGTTTGGATAGCCAGTCCCTTGACGGGTGCGCTGGTGCAACCATACATTGGCATTCAAAGCGATAACTGCCGACTCGCGTGGGGTAAGAGGAAACCGTTCATGGTCGTTGGAGGCGCAGCAACCGTCGTTTCATTGCTAGCCCTGGCATGGGTGAAAGAAATTGTGGGAGGATTTTTGTCTATATTCGGTGTTGAATCGACATCTCCAGGAGCCAAGATTGTTATCATTATCATGGCAACAATTTTCATGTGTTGCCTTGATTTTGCCATCAACACCGGTGCGCATCCCGGTATCTTCACGTTTATGGTTGCTTGGCTAATTTCCATCTTATAGTGCAAGCTGCAATCAGAGCATTCATCGTTGACAACTGTCCCACCCACCAGCAGGAGCTGTCCAACGCCTGGGCTAGCCGTATGGTCGGCGTTGGCAACATCTTGGGGTATATCTTTGGCTATATGGACCTGCCGAAGGTTGTTCCTTTCTTGGGAAATACACAGTTCAAGGTTCTGTGTGTACTCGCATCGGTCTTTCTGAGCGCAACCCTTGCTATTAGTTGTGTCTACATCAAAGAGCGGGACCCCCGAGGAGACGGGCCGGTGACCGACAAGCTTGGCGTGGTCTCCTTTTTCAAACAGGTCATCAAGTCGATTCGGAGCTTGCCAACACAGATTTCCCGCGTCTGTCAGGTGCAGATAGCTGCGTGGGTGGGCTGGTTCCCATTCCTGTACTACTCCACGACTTATGTCGGACAGCTCTACGTCAATCCCGTTTTCGCAGATAACCCCCATCTGTCCGAGGGCGAGGTCGATAAGGCTTGGGAAAATGCTACTCGCATCGGAACATTAGCTCTCCTCATCTATGCTATCATCTCTTTCCTTGCCAACATCTTGCTTCCTCTTTTCGTGGTCCCCTTATATGGGCCGGCTCCAGAAACTATTTCGCAACGGGATTCTCTAGACGGTGATTCAGATGACGACGCAGAGCCGGCCACAAGGAGACTATCATTTTCAAGTATGCCGACGGGAAATGCATCCGAGCCTCTGCTCGACGCAGTTCCAGTCGGACAGGAGACCGAAGGGAAACCGACTTGGCTTTCACGCCTGCGCATCCCAGGCTTGACTCTCCCACGAGTCTGGCTCCTCTCGCACCTCCTGTTTGCAGCATGCATGTTCAGCACTTTCTTCATCTACTCTCATCAAGCCGGGTCGGCGTTTGTGGGCCTTGTCGGTATCTCATGGGCTGTAGCGCTGTGGGCTCCCTTCGCCCTTATCTCGGCGGAGGTAGCTAGGATGGATCCCTCAAGACGAAATCGCCACCGCACAGCTCAGACCACCTATAATGAGCATGAAAGCGAGGCACAGGATGAGGGTCCTGGCGAAAATGACAGCGTCCGCGGCGCTGATGTTGAGAATGGACAACCGAAGGATTATCGTGAGGGTGGGGATGTTGCACAGGCGGGTATCATTCTTGGACTGCATAATATGGCTATTTCTCTGCCCCAGATTCTGTCTAGTCTTGTTTGCAGTGCTATTTTCAAGGCGTCTCAGAAGCAAAGAGGGGAGCCGTGGGATGATAGTGTGGGCTGGGTGCTACGGTTTGGTGGATGTGCTGCGTTAGTGGCTGCATGGTTGACTAAAAGGGTTTCAGATGGGTCAAGGTAGACATGGAGCCATGGATCCTATAATGCATTCATTAGATTCTTGTGTATGTTGTATATAAATATTTCTAAGTAAAGCTCCCCCCCAGCCTTGTCTATAACATACAAAATAAAGGATTCTGCAGGGGATAACGACTGTCGTACGGAGTATGTGTGTCCTTTAATTACAGCCCTCCAGCACTCTTGGGCAATCAAATTATACCAAATAAACGATGATGTGTTCTCCCACTGGATTGACCTTTGTTGTCCTGGCTATTTTGCCCGAATCCACCGCTTGCGCGGCACTTCGAAAATCGGCCCACGTGTAATTTTTAAATACCAATACGCAACATATCTTACGCTATCGCTGTATCTCTCCAATTCTCCTACCAATTTGGCTCCGCCCTGCCGTATCATGTATTGTACAATTCCGTACCTGACCTCATATCTGTCCCTCGGATGCAACTTAAGCAGTCCGTGTCCTATTACTGTTAACATAATTCGATCTTGTCGCAACCTCTCGCTATCCATCTCTTCGTGGATTTGGATTATGTGCGCCTGGCCCTGCCACCTCAATTTACTGAGGGAGTGAACTGCCAGTCATCCGCCCTGGCCCTGAATACTTCCCAAGGCGTGAGCCGCGATGGCTAGCCAACTTATGAACGATGGCCTGCACGCCCTGCTTCGTACGTCTGAACGAGTGGTCTTGGACACTGCGCTTTAATTTCTGGTTTGGGCTACGAGCTAACATATCTATTTCTGTTCTAGGGAGAGCCGCTGAAGACTCCGATCCCGATGGTACGCGTGCCTAAACTTACCCCCTCATCCTTCCCCCCCCATCTTGTCGCGACATAGCGCTATTCAGCTTCGAAGATTTAACTAGTATGGCGAACTACAGATTCCCCCGAGGCAGGGTCCAAGGAGATCACAAGCTCCTGGGCATTGTTTATCATGATCATGTTGTTGATGTTCGCCCTATTCACGAGCTACATCCTTCAGCAGAAGAAGATCCAAGCTGTCCATGAGACGGTTCTGTCGATTTTTGCAGGTAGGCGATATCCTCGAGTGGCGCTAGAACGATCTGGAAATATACAAAGCTTCGTTCGGTCTACGGCAGTTAGTACGGACTTGCTAACGGTCGCCAGGGATGTTCGTTGGACTACTCATCCGTTTCACAGACTCCACCCTCCAAGACAGCGTCGCCTTCGACTACCAATTCTTCTTCAACCTCCTCCTTCCTCCGATTATTCTCGCCTCCGGTTATGAGCTTCACCAGGCGAACTTCTTCCGACATATCGGCACGATTCTCACGTTCGCGTTCGCCGGCACCTTTATCTCCGCAATCGCGCTCGGTCTCGTGCTGTACCTATGGACACGGATCCCGCTGAGTGGGCTGGACATCTCTTTCGTCGAAGCTATTTCGGTCGGCGCAACTCTCTCCGCTACGGATCCGGTCACCATCCTAGCTATCTTCAACGTCTATAAGGTCGAGCCGAAACTTTATACTATCATCTTTGGCGAGTCGATCCTGAACGATGCCATTGCCATCGTGCTCTTTGAGACGGCGCAGAGGTACCACGAGACTGGCGCGGCTGGCTCTTTGACTTTCCTCAACCTATTTGAGGCCGTAGGGCTCTTTTTGCTCGTCTTCTTTGGTAGCATGGTTGTCGGAATGCTGGTTGGAATCGCTACCGCGCTAGGTCTCAAGTACACCCTCGTGCGACGCTTGCCCAAGATCGAGAGCTGCTTGATCATTTTGGTTGCATATGCCAGCTACTTCTTCTCCAATGGCGTGCACCTATCCGGCATTGTTTCGCTCTTGTTTTGTGGTATCACCCTCAAGCACTATGCTTACTATAACATGTCGCGTCGCACGCAGTTGACGACCAAATACCTGTTCCAGGTAATGGCTCAACTTTCGGAGAATTTCATCTTTATTTACCTCGGCCTTGACCTCTTCGTGGAGCCTAACCTCCAGTTTAACCCCTTGTTTATCATGGTGGCAGTGTTTGGTATCTGTCTCTCCCGCTATCTTGCGGTGTTCCCGCTTTCGAAGGCTATCAATTGGTTCATTCGGTACCGAGCACGGCGCCGTGGCGTGGACGTTCCCGACGAGCTGCCGTTCGCTTATCAAGCAATGCTCTTCTGGGCTGGATTGCGTGGTGCCGTCGGCGTTGCGCTAGCAGCTGGTCTATCCGGAGTCAACGCCCCCGCACTTCGTGCAACAGTACTTGTTGTGGTTGTGCTAACCGTCATCATTTTCGGTGGAACAACTGCACGCATGCTGGAGATTCTGGGCATTCGAACCGGTGTGGTCGAAGAGCTTGACTCGGACGATGAATTCGATACCGAGGTGACCCATGGCGGCACCTACTACAAGCGCTCCGGCACGAGCCTGGGATACATCCCGCGCCGCACCGACTCGGTGATCCCCATGGATGGGGTCGCCGCTCCACGCGCTGAATCTGGAGAGCGAACACAGAGCTACTCCAGTGGAAACAGTCGCCGCCCAAGCCCGCCTTATACCCACACAAGAATGTACTCCGCCGCGTACAGCAACAAAGACCAGTCCTGGCGCGACCGCCAATCCGCCGCGACGTTACTCAACGGCGCATCTGGGCCGAGCGCGGGCGAAGGTAGCGACGACGAGTTCGGCCTACCACCCTCGGGCCCCGGGCGCTCCAACGATCCCACCCACCCAGACGAGTTTGACCTCGATATCGAGGGCATCTCCGACGACGACCTCCCACCGGCTGCAAGCGGAGCCTCGCGTCTCCGCCGATCCGCCTCCCAACCCCCTCACCCTTCGAGCGCCCCGACCACCGCAGCGGCGTCGACAAGCGTCTCGCCCACTCACCAGCCAGTGGGTATGTCTGCTCGGGATGCGGTGCGGGGTCTGTTCTCGGGTGGTGCTTCAGGCGATCATGCGGCTTGGTTCCGCCAGCTCGATGAGGACTATATCAAACCCACACTTTTGCTGGACCAGTCGAATCATAAAGGACCTGGGCCTGGTGCGGTTTGAGATGATGATACCTTGGAAGGGTCTCGATTTTATTTTATTTTTCTTTATTGGATATGATCGACAGAAGTATAATTCAGGCCTGTCTTGTTCATAACTTATCAGCGCCTCTGGATGCTCTTATGAACAATGCATGAAAGAAGCGGTATCCAGAACTGCTAGTATAGACGTAGAAGAGGGAAATTTCACAAGTTTCATCGTATTTGAGTTTGTACATATTAGGCCTAATCGTTGGGCTGTTCAGCTGACCCCCACTTCTAGGGGCTTGCGCGGTGGGATGTCTGTTTCCGCTGCCAAACCATCTCCTTAATCTGTAATTCGTTCCGCTCTCTGGACTTTGCTGCAGACAATCTGAATGCACCAACAACATGAGTTTTGGCTTCAGTATCGGTGATTTTCTGGCGGTCTTACAACTAGCAAATGACTTGGGAGGCCGCTTTGCGCAAGCACCGAGGGAGTACAAGGCCATCAAGGATGAGTATGTGTTGAATTTTGTGGTTAAATCACATATTAACAACTTACGGTAGGGTCGAGTCTCTTATCTTTGCTCTCAACCGCATCAACGGCTTTAATGAAGAGGAATTTGATGACCAACAGAAAGACGGTGTGAATCAAGTCATCCAGAGCTGTGACATTGTCCTTCAGGATCTTGACTCTAGGCTACAAAAATTCCACGTTCTGGCCGAGGACTCTACTCCAGACTGGGCGGGCAAAGTGCGCCAGGCGTGGAAAAGGATCCGATGGAACCAAGCAGAGATCAATAACTTTCGCTCTCGGATCGTTTCCAATATTTCTCTGCTGAACCTCATTATAGGAAATACCAATCAGTGCGTCAACTCTATTCTATTCTGCTTTTCTAATTGGAGTCAGATCCCTCGATTTCTAATGTACGGAAATCAGGCATGGAATCCAAACTCTTACCCAGAGACAAGAAAATCATGAACGTAACAAAGTCCTGACTTGGCTGAGCCCAGTGAGCCCATCATTACGACAAAGCGAGGTTTTCAATTCTCATCAAAAGGGGACGGGGACGTGGTTGCTGAAAACAGAGGCCTTCCAGCGATGGATCGGCAGTCAAGAGCAGGTTCTATTCTGCCCTGGGATCCCTGGCTCTGGGAAGACAGTCCTTTCATCAATCGTCATTGATCATATAGAGCAAACGTTTCCCAACCAAGACGACGTTGTGATTGCATATCTGTTTTGTGACTATCGGCAGCAACATACACTTGTTGACCTCTACTCGGCTCTTTTGAGACAAGCTGTACAACGAAAAACCTCCATACCAGAGAGAATCAGATCGTTTTATAACAAGTACTCAGAAAAATCAGCTAAACCTTCGAAAGATGCGATACTAGATGAATTGCGATATGTGCTCGCTTCGTGCGCAAGAGCTTTTGTCGTGATCGATGCAATTGATGAATGTCCAATTTCCGACGCTAACCATGCTATTCGCCATTCATTTCTCCACGAGCTTGTTCGGTTGCGGAATGAAGAAGGATTTAATATTCTTGCAACTTCCCGACACGACCAGGAAATTGCAGCCCACTTCGAGGACTCTGCTTCCGTGGAAATACAGGCGAGCAGTGCAGACATCCAATACTATGTTGACGTCCGTTTGGATGATCTTCCGCCTTTTGTTCGAAGAAGAGAGAAATTAAAACAGGCAATCAAGAACGGTATCGCCGAAGCAGCCAAAGACATGTACGAATTTATCTGGGTTTGCAGTGAATACGTTCTAACATTTCTTAGGTTCCTTCTTGCTCGGCTTTATTTTAATCTCCTCTTGGATGAATCGAACGAAAAAGGGATTCGAAGAATGCTAGAAGAGTTCCGCACTGGTTCTCACGCTGGCTCTCAGCCTAATACTTATGATCATGCCTATAGTGAGACCATGAGTAGAATCGAGCGTCAAGGGCCAAATGCTTCGGGTCTTGCAAAGAAAACAATCGGATGGATCTTAAACGCCAAAAGAAATCTGACTACCGCTGAGCTCGAGCACGCGCTGGCGATTGAGCTTGAGACCTCCGAATTCGACGACACAAATATCACGGACATTGAGCAATTGACGTCGTATTGCTGTGGTTTAGTTCTTGTCGACGAACAAACGACCGAAGTAAAGCTTGTCCACTACACCACCCAAAAGTTCTTTGAAAGCACCCTGAAGAGTTGGTTCCCGGAGATTCTTGACCATATCACGGACTGCTGTTTGACATACCTCTCATACGACGTATTTGAGGAAGATAGATTTGAGGAAAAGAAAGAGGTTGAAAAAATCCCAAATGAGTACCCATTCTACTCTTACTCCTCTCAGAACTGGGGGCATCATTTCCGGGAAGCTCCTGGAGACCGGTCGATACTCCTAAAATTCCTTCAGAGTGAAGCGAAATTGGCTGGATATGACCGCTGCGGTTTTGAGCCTCTGAATTGGAAACCAGATCCTAAAACGAGCGGAATAAAAGCGGAACATATTGTTGCCTTTTTCAACTTGGATCATCTAATGCAAAAGCTACTTCAAACAAGCCCAGGCAATCTGAACATCCAAGACTCGAGTGAGCATACGCCCTTGTTCCTCGCTGCAAGCCACGGACATGAATCAGTGACCAAGTTGCTTCTAAATATGGGCGCCAAGGTTGATCTCCCAGATAAAGATGGCACTTCGCCATTACATGCAGCTGCAGATCAAGGCTCTGCTGTGGTAGTCCAGATGCTCCTGGATAAAGGCGCCGACATTAAAATCAAAGATTCGAAACATAAGACTCCATTATACGTCGCCGCAGGCAAGGGCCATGAGATCATTGTCACGCAGCTTTTAGATGGAGGCGCTGATATCGACGCTGGGGACGAAGATGACAGGACTGCATTACATGCGGCTTCACTGGGGAATCATGTGACCACAGTCGAATTGCTTTTAAGCAGAGGCGCAAACCTCGAAAGTAGGACAAAGAGTGGCGATGTCCCGTTACATGATGCATCATTAAACGGCAATCTAAAAGTGATCAACCTGTTATTGGAAAAGGGTACAAGCCCCGAAATAGCCAACGACGAAGGCAAAACACTATTACTCAAGGTTTCCGACTATCCCCTCTACGGATTGCTTAATGAAAAGATTGATGCCACATTCGAGCTTCTCCTAAACAAGGGTGCCAACACTGAAGCCAAATGCAGGCATGGGGAAACTCCACTGCATCGGACTGCAGAAAGAGGCTGGGAGGCACCGGTGAAACTTTTATTAGACTATGGGGCCAACATTGAAGCCACAACCATCGACAGCATGACCCCATTACACTTGGCTGCCCGGAAAAAGAGGGTAGAAATTGTCAGAATGCTCCTAGACCGGGGAGCTAGCGTTGATCCCATGAGTCAAAGCAGGCAAATACCATTGCACGTTGCAGCTGCCACAGGAGATGAGGCCATAGTTACAATGCTGTTGGACAAGGCCGCCAACATCAATGTCTTTGATCGATTTGGCTGCACTCCATTATTCTGGTCTTCCTTGAACGGGCATGAGACCGTGTCAAGGCTGCTCTTAAACAAGGGTGCTACTCTCAACCCTCCAAGCTCTGGACCTCAACTGTTACCCTCAGCAACCACCGAGGGTGGGCACGATGTGACTTTAAGAGCTTTACTTGGAAAAGAGAGCAACTCTAAACAGTTCAATATTTATCATCGAACTGCTTTACACATGGCGGCTGCCGGGGGGCACATACCGATGGCAACACTTTTGCTCTCTGCTGGAGCAAAATCAGATATCCCAGATCGATATGGAAGAACACCATTGTTTAATGCTGTTTGCGGAGGCCATTCAGACATGGTTCAACTGCTCCTCGGCTTGCCAGATGTTGATAAATCCCGTCCCGACATCTGGGGGCTTACCCCTCCTCTCGAGGCCCAGAAGAGGGGGTTCCATGAGATCAGCCTGCTCCTCAATAGCGAAAGCGAAAACGTGGACTCAGGTGTGGAGCCAATCGTGAAACCCGAATCCACAGAACAGAGACCTCGATTTTGTGATGTCTGTCTAAGAGGCCTTTTGGAGGAAGAAGTGTACTATTCGTGTGACTATTTTTACACGTGCAAATTCTGTCCCCCTGCGCAGACCAAAAGCTGTCCACTGTGTGGAAACAAGCTGGTGAAAGCGATCTACAGGTCTCCCACGACGTCAATCCTGGAAGTATTCGAATCATGCGTGTGCATGTAACAGATTCAGGAAGCAGAAAATACCCCGAAGATCCTTTGACATAAGCTCTGCCTCGAGAGTGTAGGCACCGGCTTTTCACACTGTGGGCTCTTTCACATAGTTGGCTTGCCTGCGAAGACGCGAGAGCTCTTAGTCTAGCTTACTACAAACATTTTCACATTCAATGCCGAAAACAAACGGAATAGGGCGATATTCTGGGATACCATGGTTAAAGTCAAGCGTCAACAACACCTGGGCAGGACGAGAGTAGGATGACTAACAATGCTGGCTGGCGGGTGCAGAACAAGGGGCAGCGGACGGTCCGAAGTGACGGGTGGAAAGGCCGTTTCTGGTGCCAGAAGCTATCATTTTCGGCGTCGATTTCACCCCATATTCTAGTTGTAAAGCTTGCAAGTTATATAGAATTGAGTTTTCTCCGCACTTTAGCGCTACCCGTTACCCCACAACTCGGGATGTCTCACCTTCACAAGGCAGTTAAAACTCCCGACCTGAGATAATCAAAGACGTTTAAGACGAAAGAGTAATACCTATGTCTCGGTACATGGCAATTTAATAAACGTAACACCCCAAGATAAGCAAAGGCTTCGCCCTATAGCCGTGCGTTCCTATCTCTACTTGCCTTATCGCCCACTCGTATCAGCGACAGCTATCTGTACCGTCCCCGGGGGCCGTCCAGGACTCTAATTATGCACAGCGCCATGCTTGTTTCGGAGAAACTTACGCCAATGCGTATCCTCTCGGTCTGATCCCCGTATTAGCTTCCGGGTTTGCGTGTATTTAGATAGGATCAGGTGCCGGTTTCTTACCTGGTTTCTTACCTGGTCTGCCGCCGCTTTTATACAACCGCATAGGGCCTCCTATAATCAGGATATATATCAGTACTCGGTCCAACGCGTGACCAACTCCGGGTGGGAATTGGGCCGCTTTGGGGGGAGTTGGTCGCGCGTTGGACCGAGTACGTAGAAGTGTGCTACCACATGTGTAACTTAGTTGAGCGCCCACGTGGTTATTTCGTGCTCCATTCCGGAGGCCTACGTGTGAAAAGCGAAGAATTTCTTGAATTTGTTGAATATTGAGATGGATAATGGGAAGACGTTGGGACTTACGAAATCAAAGCCCTTTTCGCGCAGTGGTGAACCTGTCTATCCTAAGCTGATATTGAAATCATTCCCAATCACCTAGGAAACCAGTCAAACAACCAAGGTTTTGGTGGTGTGCTGAGTTCTACCGAGCGACCAAAGGGCAGCAAGGGATGAAACCTAAAGGGGGTTTCTATAGTACAATAATTGTACCATGCATTTGTGCTCCCCCGCTCCGCTAGGCCAGCCACTTTTGATTCTAGGTTTATCTTTCTTGAAAAGAGAGGAGATATGCAGTACTGTGTCATGTACCCTCAGCATGTGCTACATACAGATAGATCTAGCTATTTTGTATTCTAGAATTGGAAGATATTTTAAGGTTATATCTATCGAGACCTTGACCAGATAGCAAAGATCTGCGCATACTGCACCTCCTATCTAGCTCTTGAATTGGTGTTTATGGTACTCGTGTCAATAATCGGAATATTTAATGCCGAAGCCTCCTCTTTCTTTTTCTTCCCGACGTCTTCATTGCTATCGAATCTTTTAGGTGCTGTGCGCTCGATCGCGTTGACTATTTGTTTGCCTATCCACTCCACTCTCTCATTTTCATTTTTACCCATTACACGTATGCTCGCCGTCAATGATACAATGGAGAAGGTGGTATCGCAGACGAGCAAGAGGCGTCAGTCGACAGCCACAGGTCATGACTCGAAGCCCCAGGCTGGAGACACCGAGCTGCTAGGTGCGTACCGCGGGGCTTAATGGCGGACCTGGTGTAACCATATGAGATCGTTGCCACTGACTGATCAAATAGCGGCACTCGGGTACAAGCAGGAATTGCGGCGTCATTATTCGACGATTCAGATATTTGCTGTCGCCTTTAGTATCATGGGGCTTTTGCCTTCCATTGCTTCTACGTTGGCGTTTTCAATGCCCGCTGGTCCTGTGGGAATGGTTTGGGTAATATGCTCTACCTGAAATTAATTGGCATTGTGACTGACAGAATGGCTAGGGTATGCCCCTATCCTTTCAGGAGTATAGTTCTAGCAATTGTTAACAGGTCCCTTCGGCAGGATGGTTGGTTGCAAGTTGCTTTATCTTTACTGTCAGCTTGGCAATGGTATGGTTCACTCAATCTACAACCTAGAAATGACAGAACTAATAACAATCAGGCCGATATGGCATCTGCAATGCCCACAGCAGGCGGACTGTACTTCTGGACGCATTACTTCGCATCCGAGAAATGGAAGAACCCGCTCAGTTTCCTCGTCGGATATAGTAATACTATCGGATTGATCGGAGGCATATGCTCAATCGACTGTAAGTCAGCCCATGTAGCTACAAATTTAAACAAGGACCCAATCACTGACTACTCTTCTCAGATGGTTTCGCAAGCATGCTCCTCTCAGTGATATCGCTTGTCCGCGACGGCAACTGGTCCGCGACACGACCTGTTATCTACGGCACATACGCAGCAACAGTCTTCGCACACGGCTTCATCGCCATCTTCTTTGCCCGGATCATGCCAAGGATCCAATCCGCCTGTATCTTCCTCAACATCGCTCTCGTGATAGCAACTGTCATCGCTCTGCCCCTAGGCAAAGCAAAGAACAGCCCGCCAGTCAACCCGGGCTCGTATGTCTTCGGTGAGATTCAGAACTTCACTACCTGGCCTACTGGCTGGGCATTTATCATGGCATGGCTGTCGCCTATCTGGACTATTGGCGCCTTCGATTCTTGCGTGCATATGAGCGAGGAGGCGACACATGCTGCTCGCGCTGTGCCGCTGGGGATTATCTCTTCCACTGGATTATGTGGTCTCCTTGGGTTTGTTTCGCTGGCGGTTATTGCGTCTTCGATGGACAGGAATATTGAAGGGATCTTGAACTCGAAGTTCGGACAGCCTATGACCCAGGTTTGTTTTCTCTTGCGTCTTCTGCTGTCTTGTCTGGGACGTACTTTCTAATCTAGATTCTCTACGCAGATCTACTACGACGCCCTCGGAAAAAATGGAGCCATAGGCTTCATGGTCGTGGTAATGATCGTCCAATTCTTCATGGGACTGAGCATCGTAAGTCCACGTTTCACCTCCTACCTCCTACCAGTCTGGTCCCAGATCCAAGAACCCATTCACTAACTATACCCAGGTCCTAGCCGCCTCCCGCCAAAGCTGGGCCTTCTCCCGCGACGGCGCCCTACCCCTATCCTCCTTCTTCCGCAAAGTAAGCCAGCGCAAATTCACGCGCTACCAGCCAGTCCGCATGGTGTGCGGTATAGTCGTCGCATCGGTACTTATTGGCCTTCTCTGTCTAATCGACGAAGCCGCCGCCAGCGCCCTCTTTTCCCTCGCCGTAGCTGGCAACGACCTCGCCTGGCTGACGCCCATCTTGGCGCGTCTGCTCTGGGGCGGTGATCGCTTTATCCCCGGTGAGTTTTACACAGGCAAGTATCTCAGTAAGCCTATTGGGTGGGTTGCGGTCATCTATATGATGTTCGTTATTGTTCTTTCTATGATTCCTACTGAGGGGCCGAATCCGTCGCGTGAGTTTGCACTTTACTATACTATTCCCTGTGATTTTGCTGACTGGGTGTTTGAAGCTCAAACGATGAATTATACGGTTGTTATTAATGGGAGTCTTTGGCTTGGGGCGTTGATTTATTACTATGTCCATGCCAGGAAGACGTACAAAGGGCCTCAGACTACTGTCAGTCCTGAGGATGAGGGGATGACTTTGGAGCGGGATTCTAAATGATTTGGCCTGACACTTTGATGGCCCTTCGTTGTTCATGTCGATAGATTAAGTTCATATGTATCTAATGGTTACAAGCAGTGAAGGGGTTTTACTTCCATTAGCTACGGAGACATTGGCTATTTCAGAATTTAGCTTTCAATTATCGCTAATGGCCCTTACACCAGGGCTAAAAAGCCGTCGCTTATGGACATCAATTCGTCTTCTTCGTTTCTTCTTCGTTCTTCGTCTCTCATAAGCAGCTTCTCTCCAGGGCCTCTTTGCTCAGCCTCTATGCATGATAACGATGCATTTATTCCGGAATCTCGAGGACGTAGCGGCCGGCGATCTTGCCTTGCTCTGTATTGCAAATATTAGCATATTGGCGATATCAAGTAATTGGAACCTTTGAAACGTACCCATGAGCTTGAACACCTCAGGCAGCTCCTTGAGAGGAACAGTCTTGAAAGGCGCCTTGATCAAGCCTCGCGCGTAGAAGTCAATGGCTTCAACGCCATCCTGGCGGTTACCGACATAGCTGCCCTTAATGCTGACCATCATGACAACGGTTTCGAAAACAGGGGCCTTGAGGAACGCATGGGCGGGAAGGCCAATGGCAACAATAGTACCACGAGCGCGAGCGTATTCGACGGCCTGCTGGAAAGGCTTTTCGGAGACAGCAAGCAAAAGCACGGCGTGGGCACCTAGGCCACCGGGGGTAGCAGCTTTAACATCTGCAACGAGATCGCTAGATTTGGTGAAGTCGACGTAGGCCTGCACACTATATTAGCACGGATTCCAAAAGTAAAAGGGAATAGAAAAGCCCACCTCTGCACCTAGTTCCTCACACATAGCCTTCTTCTCCTCGCCACCATCAATAGCAATAACACGCAAGCCCATAGCCTTAGCATACTGCTGCGCAAGCGAGCCAAGGCCACCACCAGCACCCACAATAGCAACAGTCTGCCCAGGGCGCGCACCGGACTCCTTAAGACCCTTGTAGACCGTAATACCAGCACACAGAATAGGCGCAATAGCATCAAGCGGCACATCCTTAGGCAACTTCGACACATGCGCCGCCTTCCCAATCGCGTACTGCTGGAACGTGCCGTCGACCGTGTATCCGGACAGCTGCGCATCGGGACACAACGGCTCGTCGGCGGTCTTGCAGAACTCGCATGCGAGACAGGATCCGTTGAGCCATTTGATACCTGCGTGATCGCCGATCTCAATCCCCTGGGCGAGAGAGCCCTTTGCGACGACAATGCCTGCGCCTTCGTGGCCGCCGACTAGGTTCTGCTTCACGGGGAGAGGCCAGTCGCCGTTCATGGCGTGGAGGTCTGTGTGGCAGACGCCGGTGTATTTCATCTTCACGAGGACTTCGTCGGGGCCCGGCTTTGGGACGGGGATTTGTTTGTACACGGGTGGTCCGCCTTTCTTTTCGACGACTTGCGCCCACTGGGTGTCTGGGATCTCGGACATTTTGGATGAGAAGGTAGAGTATGCGAGGGCAAGAGGTAAGAATAGGGAGAGGTATGTGAGGGTAAGAGGAGGAAGAGGTCAAAGGTACATATGTATTAAATGGGAAGTGTGAAGAAACAATGTAACGCAGGAAGGCAGCAGCTGTCTTCTTATAGTCGTCAAGCGCATTGCCTGATCAGGGGATCGGCTTCTTTAGCCATGAATCCTTCAAACTAATCAGGTTCTTTAGCTTAGGGCATCTGTGTCATCGTCATAAGATATTCTTAGAATACCTTGAAATGGCTACTGGACATTACCTGTGTATCGGCTTCTGCTCCCGTTTGCGGTATATATCGCTATGTGATACAGACCCTATTAATGTCTAGACATCTAGACCTTTGCTAACTGTTGTGGTAAACATACTGATAGTCTACATATGTATCTCCATCGCTACAACATTTCTGTCAGGATCCGGAAAATGCGAGGGCTTAACCCCTGCTTATATGCATGCACAAAGCATGAACCCACTCAAACGCACCCCGCTCGTTTGGACAAAAGAAGAACTGCAATTGGAATTGGGAATGGATGACCAGTAAGATCAGTAATATCAGTAAGTCCAGGAAAATCATGGCAAAACATGTCAGGAGGCAATTGTACCATTCCACCTGAGATCAGAGTGGAGGACGTCATCAACATTAAGCGTCAGGCCATGCGAGGTGGGAAGCTTTGAGGATTGGGAGATTCTGGGTGTTTACGGTTGCTAGAATTTATCTTTATGACTTAATTAATAATGAGTTATATATAATTAGTATCTCCAAATTAATAGATATAGTTGCATCCACGTAGCTTCTTGCTCGGGTGAGGAGCATTGACATCGGAGTGGACCTGAGGCTATGTACCTCTAGATCTCCGAATCGATTACTTCCAAAGTCATAAGTGATATATATAGACATATAATTAGATGTACATTGCATATATGAGATAATCCAACGTTTACACAATGCTAAGTGACCGGTAAATTAGGCGCCGAAGCGACTAGGGTTGCCGCCATTTTGAGCGTGCTCACGTATTTACTAGTATAAAGGTAAAGGGGGTGTTTTCTTTTATCTACTGCAGACGGCGCTGTCACTGCTGAAAGACAACACTCCTGCGAAGTAACACTCTATAGGAACAATAGTATAGGCATATAGAACATGAATTTGGAAGTAGATGTAACTGAATCCGTCTACTCACTTAAGCTATATTCGAGAGATATAGAGAGGCTGATGTCTACGTATACATAATTAAGCAACTGATAATTTTGAGAGATTAATAGTGTCCACTGTATTGAGTGTGAAAAATCTAGAGTGGGACTAAGGTGACAAGGATGAAGACATCTGCTGATCCATGTCGTGAAGCCAGCTAACTTGAAAAACAAGATAGAAAAGAAACATAATTTAGATGGAACGAGAGCTTTTTATTCGGCAACATAATTAAACCAAGTAAACCAAGCAAGCCCTAGGTGTTAATCAATATTGTCTCGGTAAGATAATGCAATTGAATCTAATTATGGAACTGTACAGAAAGGTAAGGTGATCTCACGATAAACTCCCGAGAATCGGACAGATTTCAGATTTCGAGTAAAATGGAGGAAGTGAGGACTAAATATCTTGATTTCAGAAGAACTCGGAATATTTGAAAGTATTTGACGACATTTAAAGACATTTTGGAAAACATCAGATGTTGATGATGTTAGTCCTCACCACCTCTGTGCTCCAACAGAGTGTTTGTATGGACTCTAAGTGGGATCGGGGCACAACCTTGGAATTATCCAGCCAGAAAAGGAACATGATATAGAAGAACATGAAACAATTGAAATAGTCATCTAGAACAGAAAATTCACCTATTTACAGTATAAACAGCCAGTTCGGATCTAACCCCCGGGATGCCGGAGTTGAAATACCCCAGACGAGGAAGAGATTCACGAGAAATGCCAAATCTCAACTTTTCCGCTTTTTACCTTTACGACTTGGCTTCTTCCCTTCCCGACTTGCAACTTTCTTCTTCAGTAATTCCCCCTTCCCCCATCCCCGATTCCCCCCATCTCTCCCTTCTCATCCTCATCGCCCCTGCATCAGCTCGCCTAGGCCCGCGCATTCTCTTTCTTGGGCTCCACGGAAACTTCCCTTCTTCCTGCATCTTCCCACCACAAACGAATCCATCCCTCCATCAGGTATTTATGTCTTGCTTTCTTCCTCCATCTCTCTCTTTCATCCCTCTTCACTCCGAAACAGATACCTGAAACCAACAACTGACAGCGCGTCATTAGACCTCCGGAACCCCCTTGACAGGTGTCTCTGAGCAGGGGTCTTGGACTCTTCTTCCTCAATTCCCTCCAGACCCTAGCTCCACCCGAGTGACCAACCTTCGACGCGCTCGACCCATAACCGGGGACCGCGGCCATCATGACGGGCCCTCCGCCATACAACGCCCAGTCCCCGACTCAGCAGCAGCGGTATCCGGCCTACACATCTCCGAATAAGAACCATCCGTATTACCCGAGCAATGAACAACCGCAGCCGCCGCAATACCACCAGCATCCTCCGCAGACCCCACCCGCATTTGGCCCATCCTCCGTCGCGCGAAGTCCGCACTTTTCGCACGCGTCTCCAATGCCCTCTACATTGCCGCCGCCCTTGAATGGGAGTGCGCCACCTCACCCATCCCACCCGGAGTCTTCGCAATACCAGGGACATGCGGCAGCCAGTTCTCAGCTACCACTTCCACGCCCTTACTCCAGCTCTGTGATCACGGGCAACGGTGCCGCGCCGTACGGATCTGCGACACCCCATGGCCATCCGCCCAGCCGCCCAGAAGGCCATTCGCAATCTCCTACCAGGGAGTCCGAATCTCCATATCGGATGCGAGGCAATGGTGTTGGATATGGACCTCCGATGATGCGTGAGCCAAGACCGGTCTCGCCGCAAGAAGCTGTAGGCATTACCCGGACCCTTCAATATCTTACGATGTACTAATTTGCCCCGCAGAAGCCCGCCAGAGCCGCAGACCCCATGTCGTTCGCCAGTATTCTTTCAGGCCCGTCCGACGAGCAGCCTGTAAGAAAACCATCGCCTCTCCCGGCCCCCAGCTCCACCCACACGCCGCATGCTCCGCCTGTCTTTACACACCGACACCTGGACAACAGCTCTACACCTGTAACTATGCATCACAAACACGAGAATCGATTGGACTTTGATAAACGCATCGATGGCCCGAGAGCACCGCAGCCCACCAATGGGTTTGTCAAACCGGCTGCGGAATACCCTGCGCCCATTCCTCGTGCACCTCTTCGGAAACCATTCCCACCTGGTGTGGACCTGGATCAGGTCAACCGGGCTGCGGCCGAGATCGACCAAGCCGAAAAGAGCGATATTGAAGATCCTGCCTTTGACGCGGAACAGGAACGGTATCGGGAGAAAGGCTACAAACGGTCGGTGGAAAGCAGCCGCGCGGAGGAAGTACGACGAAAGGTATGTTATCTGAAATGTGTTTGATGTTCAGCCAATCCTTTGTACTAATATATGCTCAGCGTCGCCGCAACGAGTTCCTCATCGATCTAGGTAGATCCTTCGAAAAACAAGCCATTCTCGGCACCGAGAGATTCCGACTGCTCAACGAGGGTGCCGTCATGGCCGAAGTTCAACAAAAGGAGATCCAGGATGAAAAGGAACGGAAGAAAGACATGCAGCGCAAGCGCCGTCGTGAGAACACTGTGCGCCAAGAAATGCAAAAGAAGCTGGAGGCTGAGCGCAAGGCAAGCAAGGCCCAGGAACCTGGAGAAAGAGCCAAGTTCCTGCGCGAAGCCGAGCGGGCTCAGAAGAAAATCCGCACCACCAAGCGCGCCCTGGAGGGTGCTGATGGCCAGGATGAGCTCGGTGAGGTCACCCCGCTCGCTCCCAACCTCGAAGGCGGAACGACGAGTCAATTCCACATCGGCCGTTCCTCGCCCAGCCGACGCAGGTCAGGCCGCGCCGGTCCTGTCACTCGTCCCAAGAAGTCCAAGGAGCAGAAGCAGGCCGAGAAGGATCTTGCTGAGGCAGCTTGGAATGCTGGGTTGGACGACGAACTGTATCTCACCCCAAGCACGAGAAAGGATGCCCGACGTTCAAAGGAGGGTACTCCCATGTCGCAGCTACATTACGACAGCAAGGGCTACAACCAGATCTACGAACAGATCTGGCGCGATATCGCGCGCAAGGATATTCCAAAGGTCTATCGCATCAAAACTACCTCCCTCTCCACTCGCCAGGAGAATTTGCGTAAGACGGCTCAGCTGGCCAGCAAGCAGTCTCGCAAGTGGCAGGAGCGCACGAACAAGAGCACCAAGGATACTCAAGCTCGTGCTAAGAGGACAATGCGTGAAATGATGTCTTTCTGGAAGCGCAACGAGCGCGAGGAACGCGACTTGCGCCGTGTGGCTGAGAAGCAAGAGCTTGAATCAGCCAAGAAGGCAGAGGCGGACCGCGAAGCTAACCGACAGAAGCGCAAGCTCAACTTCCTTATCTCGCAAACAGAGCTGTACTCTCACTTCATCGGGCGCAAGATCAAGACCGACGAAGCCCAAGGAGATGGCGCTGTTACTGCCACCGGCGAGACGGTTCAACCAGGCAAGCCAAATGCCCATACAGTCAATCTTCCAGACAGTGTGGCCAACCCCAACGCCAAGACTACCGCATTCGAGGATCTCGACTTCGATGCTGAAGATGAAACCGCGCTGCAGCAAGCTGCAATGGCTAATGCACAAAACGCTGTGCAGGAAGCCCAGGACCGTGCCCGTGCCTTCAACCAAGGTGGTGATAATATGGCTGCGTTCGACGACGGAGAGATGAACTTCCAAAACCCGACTAGTCTGGGTGACATTGAGATTTCCCAGCCGACCATGTTGAATGCTCAGCTGAAAGAGTACCAGCTCAAAGGTCTTAACTGGCTTGTCAACTTGTATGAGCAGGGCATCAACGGTATCCTGGCAGATGAGATGGGTCTCGGTAAAACCATCCAGTCCATTTCTGTTATGGCTTACTTGGCTGAGGTCCATAACATCTGGGGTCCTTTCCTGGTCATCGCGCCAGCATCCACACTGCACAACTGGCAGCAGGAGATTACCAAGTTCGTCCCGAACATCAAGGTGCTTCCCTACTGGGGTAATGCTAAGGACCGTAAGATCCTGCGAAAATTCTGGGATCGCAAGCACATCACCTATAATCGTGACTCGGAATTCCACGTTCTAGTCACCTCGTACCAGCTTGTCGTTCTTGACGCACAGTATTTCCAGAAGGTGAAGTGGCAGTACATGATTCTTGACGAAGCTCAAGCTATCAAGTCTTCTTCAAGTTCGCGATGGAAGAACCTGCTGGGATTCAGTTGCCGCAACCGTCTTCTGTTGACAGGAACGCCAATTCAAAATAACATGCAGGAACTGTGGGCCCTGCTTCACTTCATCATGCCAACTCTGTTCGACTCCCACGACGAGTTCAGCGAGTGGTTCTCCAAGGACATTGAGTCGCACGCCCAGAGTAATACCAAGCTCAACGAGGATCAACTCAAGCGTCTTCACATGATCTTGAAGCCTTTCATGTTGCGTCGTGTGAAGAAGAACGTCCAGCAAGAACTCGGAGACAAGGTTGAGAAGGACATCTTCTGCGACTTGACATACCGACAACGTGCCTTGTACTCCAATCTGCGTAATCGTGTCAGCATCATTGACCTCATCGAAAAGGCTGCCACAGGTGACGACACTGACAGCAGCACATTGATGAACTTGGTTATGCAATTCCGCAAAGTCTGTAACCACCCTGATCTCTTCGAACGTGCCGAAACAAAATCTCCCTTCTCCGCTGCGTACTTCGCGGAAACCGCTTCCTTCGTGCGTGAAGGCAACTTTGTCGATGTTCGCTATTCGACCCAGAACTTGATCGAATATGAGTTGCCACGTCTACTGTGCAGCCCTACAGGACGACTTGATCTTCCCGGTTCTGATAATCCTCGCTTGGGCTTCCAAACCAAGTACCTATCCCAGCTGATGAATGTCTGGACGCCAGAAAACATCCATAACAGCGCACGTGAAAATGGTGCGTTCTCTTTCTTGCGTTTCGTCGACACTTCCGCAGCAGAAGCAAGCGAGATGGCACGACTTGGTGTCTACGAGCGCGCAGAGCGTCGTCGCAGCAAGCCAAACAGGCTTTCTGCCTTGAACGTCCTCTATGATGAGAGTGACGATTCAAAGAACTCCGTGCTATCCCATTCGATGTTGAACATTGTCGATCGTAATGATCGCCAGGCTGTTCGAGAAATCGCTGTTGAGGGCCGAATGAAGGATCTCATGACCGTCTCACGCTCCTCATTTGAAGATCAAGGCCTTCACGTAATTGAGCCTTGTGCCGCCCCTAAAGCTTCAGCGCCCCCCATCACCATGTCCTCTTCCGGCCAACAGGCGCAACGGGAATCCCACCACGCTTTGTTCAATCCGTCTGTCCGGCAAGCACTATCTGGGTACTGCAGCAGGCAACTTGAGGAGCAGATCCTCATCAAGAAGCTCGATCCTGCGCCTTACTCTCATGCTCCTATGCTGCCGCCACCGGTCTCACTCAAGGGCCGCTACAACCACATTGAGGTACCGTCTATGCGTCGTTTCGTGACAGATTCAGGCAAACTGGCAAAACTGGACCAGCTGCTGCGGGAGCTCAAGCCCGGTGGCCACCGCGTGCTCCTGTACTTCCAGATGACACGTATGATCGATCTGATGGAAGAGTACTTGACATACCGGAACTACAAGTACTGCCGACTCGACGGAAGTACCAAGCTGGAAGACCGCCGCGACACTGTCTCAGACTTCCAGTCCAACCCGGAGATCTTCGTCTTCTTGCTGTCGACCCGTGCCGGTGGTCTTGGTATCAACCTGACGGCAGCGGACACTGTCATCTTCTACGACTCCGATTGGAACCCTACTATCGATTCCCAGGCCATGGATCGTGCCCATCGTTTGGGCCAAACTCGTCAGGTCACTGTCTACCGTCTTATCACCCGCGGCACCATTGAAGAACGCATTCGCAAGCGTGCCTTGCAGAAAGAAGAGGTGCAGCGTGTTGTCATTACTGGCGGTGCTGCTGGCGGTGTTGACTTCAACACGCGTGCTCGTGAGAATCGCACTAAGGACATTGCCCTGTGGCTCGCCGATGACGAAGAAGCCGAACTCATCGAGCAAAAGGAGAAGGAAGCCATCGAACGCGGTGAGACCCTTGGCGCTAAGGGCGGGAAGAAGGCTGCTCAGAAACGCAAGCGGGATCTTACGCTGGATGACATGTATCATGAAGGTGAGAAGACCCTGCTCCATTGTTGTGATTGACATCTATACTAACCTATTACATAGGCGAGGGTAACTTTGACGACGCCAGCGCTAAACCTTCAGGGGCCGCTACTCCCGCCGAGGAGCCTGTAGAAACACCTTCATCGACGCCTGCAAAGCGCGGCCGCGGCCGTGGCGGCGGTAAAGGCACGTCAAAACGAGCCAAGACAACGAAAGAGCGTCTCCGTCTGATCGACGGCGACGGCGGCCTCGATTAATTTAAGCCAATGACGGTCAATTAATGCAACTCGGAACGGCGTTTAATGTCAATGCTTCTTCTCTTCCCTTCTTTCTTCTTATTTTCTTTTGTGTCGATTGCTTATTCCCATTCCTCCTTATTTTCCACCTTCCCTCTTCCCCTTTTCTTCTTATCTTCTCAAATGGCAGATATATGAACTGCTCTGTATTATCATACAAAACCTTGACTATGTTCTGGAACGGCGATGTGGGCTCAGTATGGACATTTCCCAAAGTCTGGTGGCTGAGGGTGGTTGATGCAATGATGAAAAGATGTTTTCTTGCCGCCCTCCGATAGACTCGATCCTGGCTTTGGCTTGTGGTTCATCGGTGGTTGAGGCGGTCTCAGTGTGAACTTGTTGTGATTTGTTCTTTTTCTTTCCCCCATTCTATACTGTTCTCTTTTCCCTCACCTTTTTCTATTTTGGCTTTCTTGGATCGCTTGTATGTTCAATGTTCAAAAAGGGCGCTCATGTTTTAGTTTGGTTATGAGTGTCAATGTATTGGTTTGATGGACTCTTATGCCCTTGATTTTGGCTTGTCATTGCTGTTGCTGAATTCGTAGGATTAGATGCGATTGTAGTGAGGTGTAGTGTGCTTCTATGCTTACAATGGTGATGATACTGATGCGGTTTGGGGAGCTGGTGTGATGATGAAGTTAGGGTTTATAGATCTCCATGTTCTTAAATAGTAGTTCAATGTTGTACCCAAGTACTTAGCTTGCCAGCCATCTCTATCTACCCTTGAGCTCATACCTATGTCTTGACTACGAGGGGAACTAAACATGGTAGTCCATAGTCTTGCTCGATGTCCGTTTTACCTCGCCTCTCAATTATCAACTACTATGTGTAGTCTTTACCTTCGAGCCGATCTACTTTCTAGAACAACGCCATACACAGCGATTACAATGAAAATATTACCATTGAAATACCAGAGCAAGAACACTCGTCATTGTCAGGAAGAGAGTCTAGAGAT